TTTCTCTATAGGAATGAAGGGGACCGATTCATGCCATCTTGGTATCCAACATATGCTGACGATGATAATGAATGACATTATAGGGTGTTAAGTTACCTTGTTAGTTGAATTTTGTGTAAATTGGGGCACAAGTTCACCATGTACACGTAAATTAGGCTATACTAATGTTTTTTAAAAAAAACAGATTGGCCATGTGGACCAACCTCCAATGTACCGATTTGGATTGGCCGAGTCAATAATCTAGCCAAATAATTTTTGGGAAAATTTTGTATAGACCCTTAATTTCTCATATTATTTCATAGTAAACCTTTCCGTTTTTTTTTCAAGCAGCATTAGGAAACCCTTAAAGATTTCACCTTCATCTCTTGTCTCCTTCTTTTATTGACTTTTTTACTATAAAAATTAGCCCCCAACAAATCTTTTTATATCATTTCAACCCAAAAACTTTTTAACCAGTTTTTTCTCTTTCCACTCATTATAAAAAATTTTGAGTTAAAATAGTATAAAAAGATTTTTTGAGACTAATTTTTATGGTAAAAAAGTCAATAAAAGAAGAAAATAAGAGATGAGGGAGTACGGTGAAATCCTTAAATATTTCTTTATGCTGCTTGAAATAAAAATAGAAGATCGGTCTACCATGAAATAACACGAAAAATTAGGGACGTATAAGAAATTTTCCCATATTTTTTTTAAAAAAGAATATTTTGTAAAAAAAAGAATAAAAATAAAAGCGAGAATAACATAAAACAAAAAAATCGTCTACCCTATTTATAACATGTTTGTTGGATGACTTAGAGAGAATAGAGCTGATTACTAATTTCGAGAGCGAATCGCTCCAATTGGGTATTGAATTCAATCCACAGTTTTCATTGTATGGTTCAAAGACCGTTTACCTTTCGAACTAGGTCATGAGCGCTTCTTGTCGATCCTAGTTGTCATAAACAAATCAGACGGCCGAGTCTATGCAACAAAGTCAACCAAAAAAAAAAAAGAAGATTTTGAGCACGGTCAACAGCAAGTTCTCAATAATCACATTCTATGTCTAATGGAATGGCTAAAAGGTGCTTGTGACCTTTTCATGCTCGAGATAGCAATCATATTACATACTTTTCTCTAATATAGAATCTCCCTTACCTTGGGGTCAAGTATTCTACAATAGGTCATATTCAAGGGAAGGGTAAGTAAACTACAACGCAAAGGATATGGAAAAACCTTAGTACTTGGGACATCTCTATAAAATCAATGGACAGCAATGAAGAGAGAGAGAACCACCAGAGTAATGACCTACAAATCATGGTCCATCGACAGATTGGATGGCAATGATCCAGCGGAATCTGGTCTTCCACAAAGCCCAAGTCTACATTACATTTCTACTTGGGAATAGTAGTCAATTTTATTTGAAGGTGAATGTTTGAACGAGGAAATGGTTTTGAACAGAATTAAGCACTCAGTTTGGTGTCGGTTGGCAGCAACTAAAGAAGATGAGGTATCTTTGAGGTAGATGTGCTTCTCAATTTGAAAAATATAATGTCTGCACGAACCACAAGGGTTAGATATGGGAGTGTATGGACTCCTCCATCACCAGGTATATTGAAGCTGAACTTTGACAGGAGTTTGCTTGACAACCCAAGGATGATAGGCATAGGAGGGGTTGTAGGAGGTTGTGATGGCCATGTTATGTTCACATATGCAGGACCCATAGGTATAGCCACTGCAAATAGTGCGGAGTTGCAGGCCATTTTCCATGGGTTACGTATTTTTCATAACAAAAATTTGGGAAATTGCTGAGGTGGAAGGAGATTATTTGAATACGATCCAATGGTGTAGTAAAAAACAAAGGGTATTATGGGAGATGAAGTCTATTTGGATGCAGATTATCGATTTGATTGCCGGAATGTCCATTTCCTTTATTCATGTTTGTAGGGAGGCTCACTCTTTAGCGGACGCTTTGGCTAAAGGGGGGCGCTTTTCTGTCTTCCATTATTGTGGCAGATGTTGTACTCCCTCTTGTGTAACCTACTCTTTCAATAAAATCTTATAATATTTGTCAAAAAAAAAAAATAGTAGTCAAGGTTGGAGGACCACAGCGTATGCCAATCAAATTTGCCAAATGACCTATGAAGAACAACAAATTCTCATCTTATCTAAACACACTTACGAGAAGTGAACCCGCACATGACCATTGGATATAAATCAATACATGCAAATGGACCATGGTTTTAAATCCATCACAAGGCTAATCCAACATCAGGTCATCATGGCACATATTGGTGATTAACCAGGATTCCCCACGATGGACAATCATCACCCGGCCCAATCAACCTCCACGGTTCATCCTCGATGACAGAGGGTGGATTAAGAAGCAGCATTCTGTATACAGTAAACAATTGTACCATACAGCGCTAGGGTCATGCTATAACCGTGGCAATAGAAATAGGATGGATGGAAGAAACAGAACTAAAGGCATCCTGAAGCTGTAATAAACTTGGAAACTGATTGGTAATTATCATCTCTATCTTTCAACCCAAACAAAATCTAAATTTTTTTGTTCGTGTACCTAAATCTAAAATCTGAAAAAAAACAATGCAGGTTTGCCAAATTAGATCTGAAAAAATAGAAGCAATTGTATACTGTGAGACCATTTATTTTTTGCACAAAGAGGTCACAATTACTTTTGATACTATGATACCATTTATTTTTTGCACAAAGAGGTCAATTACTTTTAATACTATGAGACCATTTATTTTTTGCATAAAGGGGTCACAATTACTTTTGACCTGAAATCCAATAAATAAAAATGCATCACAACATTCAAAAAATTCTATTTTAAAGTTTGTACATAAACAATGACACATCCACAACTACCTAATTTCAAATCTAACAGTCAATGATGATTATACCCTCCTTGTATCAAAAATAAATAGTCTAAATATATACATTTCCAAAATTAAACCCTAATCCTCAATCACCAATTCACAGATAATAAATTGACTTTCTTTTAAGCATCGATTCAACATTAAGGAGCCGTTTGGATACCTGGAAATATATTGTCTATGAAATATATTACTGGCGTAATACATTACTGCATAATACATTACCTGTAAATGGATTGTAACTGTTTGGATAGTATTTAGATGCAATATGAGAAATACATTTTTATTATTTGACTATGTCTAGAAGAAATATAGGAAATACATTATCAACATTTTACCAACACATGCCTATAAACTATCATTTCTTTCCTTTTTGTCAATAAATTCCACTAAAATGTATAATTATCATTTCTTTCTTTTTTGTCACAAAATTCCACTAAAATACTGAATTAAAATCATCATCACATCATTCCAAAAAGATAACATTATCACCATTCCAAAAAAAATTTCTAATAATAACTTGTACCATTTTACGATCATGACATTATTTCTTACTTATTTTAAGTGCCTTTGGCACTTATGTGCAATCATATGTTTTCTAACATGACATTGGTTTCAACATGATAAATCATTGGAACAATATGATTGGAATAACATAATTTTATTATGATAAGCCTTATTTTCATTTATTTTTTATACAAATCTTTCAAATGTTTCTCTATATAATTTCAAATAAACGATAAATTTATGATACTAAAATCGAAATCTATAGAGTACCAGTTAAAAAATGAGAAAAAATTTGATTAGTAAACTAGAAAGTTTGGTAATTGCAGTATAAAATTTTGATGTATTAGAAGAGACTAAATAAGTATGTTATTTCAATTGAGACTTTAGTAATCTCTTCTAAAAATTATAGTGTAAAAAATTTTATTATAATTGTGTTGTGTAATTTATCATTGATTATTGATTTTTATTTTTATTATTTTTGTTTTTATATGACACTGATGCCTTCAGATGAAGGGACGAGCTTAAAAAAGAAGCGATGATATTATGTTGTATGAAATTTTTTATTATATAACTGTGTTGCGTAATTTATCATTGATTACTAATTTAAAGGGAGGGATCATCTAGTTATTATAAAGAGAGGGCTTAAAAGACGTTACTATAAAGAGATCAAGCAGCTATTATAAAGAGAGTTTTTATAATGGAAAGCAAAAATTACAATTAAGTGTACCCAAACAGTAGAAATGTCATATTTTCTTGTAATATTTTGTTACGTAATAGATTTTCAAGTACCCAAACGGCCCCTAAACAATTGCATCAAACCATTCAATTAGATTCTATTTTTCAAAATAACCTAAATTAAAAAATAATCGTTTATTTTTTTATTTTTTTCTTTTGCATTGGTTTTCTCCACAATAGAGTGGACAAAGAAAATGGGATATTGTAGTAGATCTAATTTACAGCAAATCGAACCTTTGACAAAGTTCATCCCTGCTTGAATAATAAGAATGCATTGATAATTATCACTTTTCTTTCTAATCTGCTTTCTCGATATCAAAAAGTGTAAAAAACTCACCTCATTCTCAAATGCAAGTCTCCTTCAAATTCTACACTTAAACCTGGCCAAAAAGAGAGAAAACTAGAACTCGAATGAAATTGGAACGGTTCAGAAAGAAAAAACTTGTTATGAAAATGAAATCAATGTCAAACTGGCTGCAAATGCAACAGAAATCCAGTTGTTTTGAGTCTTTTTACCATCAGAACAAATAGAGACCATAGCTCAGTCAAATTGCCATATTTAGGGGTAGGCCGATTAGCATCACTTAGTTGGATATTGGGCTGCTTACGACTAATGAGAATCCCAATTAAGAAAAATATTGGATGATCAATATTCCAAAACACACTTTATTTTTATAAACAATATTCCAAAATACAAATTAACAATAGAAAATAAAAAATTTCAAAACAGAATTTCTCCATTAAAGAATTATTAGTGTCTTACGTAGTGAATGCAGACACGAACTGTATGTATCTCTCTTTTTCTTTTCTTTGTTCTTTTTTGCATAATTCGGCAGAACTTAAGACATGGTGTTTTAATACCGTAACCGATCAAGAACAAGACCAAAACCTTATAACCAGACAAGTAATGTATACGATCATTGCAAAATGGCCACTACAGAGCAAGTCTCAAACACTAGCACACTTGCTCAGTATTTTCACAAGATCAAAGGCAGTAACCGGGGTAGCGAAATGGTTACCAGTACATACTACATAGTTCACAAAACTATAACAGTCAAGGCATGCATAGAGATAGTCACAATGCTCCCAAGACCTAATAAAAGTATAATACCCAGAGATATTGAGACTGTCCAATTCCACTCTTTAGGATCCTGCTCTTTTAGCCCCATGATTGCAGAAATACAAACACTTAAAATATCACTGTGCACAGTTTCTAGCTAGGGATTATCCTTCATTAACTTATAGCATTAGCAATACCGACAAAGTCTTTAAGTATCATTTAGTTCAAAATTGTTGAGATTTCCCTATTTCCATTACCTTGGAAAATGAAAGGCTAGGCTTTCCATTATCATGCATAACCAGTCATCCCCACCGAAGATTGTGCACGAGTGGTTTTGCGAGCAGCTTGAGAAGTGGCCTTCACAAAGTTTATGTAAAAGAAGACGTTGAGAATCATAGTAAAGACAACAAAGGCAGCCCCAGCTGCAAACACTCCCTTGCGCAGAGATTCACAGGACACATTCTGAGCCAAAATGTATCCCCTGTACTTTGTGTGATATGCATTTTTGGTAGCACCTGCTATCAAGCATGCTTCTGCTATGAGGAAAGTCACCCTGCATTTTACAACCAATTGGTCAGAGAGAGAGAGATATGGACATGTTCAGAGGAAAGTAAAGCCACATTTTACATACAATTGCTAGGACGCGTGCACACACAGCTAATTAATAACTGCAATGGTTTTGGAAGTGAAACTAATTAAGAACTATATATATAGAGAGATGTAGTGGTCGTGCACAATCATGCCCAGCATGGTCTAAGACCAGTGTTCGCAAAATCAAACCGAAACGGTTAACCACACATGGGCCCAGAAGCGGTTTAACCGGCATAACCGGTAAACCAGCTGATTCAACAGTTCTAACCGGGGAAGTCCTGAGGGGTCAAAAAAGTATTGAAAAAATAAAAAAGATACAAAAATATGAAAAAACATATAAAGAAGGATTAAACTAAAACACATTTAAATGAAGTTGAGAATTAATGAAAAAAATGGATTTTAACGAATCAATTTGTGCTTAGGGGTATTTTAATTTTTTTTATAAAAGACGAGAAAATATAAAAGCGAGTATTAATGACCAAAACAACTTTTTAATATCTACCATAATGTAAAGAATATAAACAAAATGCATTTCAAACCAAATTCCCTATTTTTGGGAATTTATATACATTTTTTTTTAAATACCAGTCGATCACCAAAACCACCCAAAACCCAATCTAACCGGGCTGTTAGTGGTTCAATTGCCCGGTTTTTCCAACAGTGTCTAAGAGACATGATCAATTTGTTCATCGTCATGTAACTGATGCATGATGCAAATGTAACTCACAATGTCTCTATACAAATTATCAACATTTTTGAAAAGTGGCTTTTTAACCTTGCAAGGTATGAAGCTCACCCATATCTCTGAAATCTCTCATGGAGTAAGCTTGCCGAGAGGGATTTCTTACCTAACAAACATACCCTTTATGATGAGAGAAAACTAGTCAAGAGAGAGAAGCTACCAAGAAGAGATGAAATATATGATGGACCAAGCACGCATCCCTCCAGGGGCTAGTGGGCTTCCGAAGCACATACACTTTGTCACACCCATTAGAAGTGATTCACTTGAGAGAAGAAATAAGAAAGCACCAACTCCATAGCCAGTTGCAATATCAGAGTTGTAAACACAGTAGGTAATGTTGTTGTTGAGTGTATCTGTAGTGATGTGACCCTGCCATGAGTTACAGCTACAAAATCAGGATGACAGGCTCATTCTGCTATAAAAACGTCCCCATTATTGATTACAAGAATAATTACATTTATAAACAAAAGATTACCAGATATAAAGAATATACAGGTTTTCCAATGATGCCGAAGTAGCTAATAACCACAGAAGAATTTTCAACTAATTGTCATTAGTTTGAGACATCATAACTTGCAAACAGCCTAGGAGAACTAGATGAGTCAAAGAAGGTGAAGACAATAAAACCAGTATGTTGGTGTTGCATGGACACCGTAACGTCTTCGGTGCCTAGTATGTATGTGTTTTGGGTGCCTAGTACACAACTGTACAAATACCTATGTACAATTTTTGTACATGTGACATATATAAACCACCAATCTAAGAAGGGTGAGGACCTTAAACTTTCCCTTAACCCATCCCAAGCCTAAGTATTTTTTAAAGGGGGAAGGTGTGTTAGGTACACAGTCAACGTAAAACTTTGCCAAAACTTCTCTCATTCTCATGATGTAAATCATATAAGAATTTAAAAAATATGATATAAAATTATGACAAATCTTGAATTTCAATTTGTTTTATGCTATATATGTATATATATATGGGAAATGATATCATGTCACCATGCCATTATAATATAATGATATGAAACCACACTTTTAGAAAACTACGTTTGTGGTATTTGTATGGTCCATAATTTTGCACACTCTCTTCATCTCAATAATCAATCTTAAAAAAAAAAAACAACTAATTTTCACCCTATATATGGTCAAACTGAGTCCCCTCCAACACTGAATCTAGACCATCCATTTGGTGAATTTGAAGATCTAGGCCTTTATGAATTCAAAATCAATTTTTTCTTTGGAAAAAATGCACATGATGTTGATTGTGGTGGCTTAGCTCATTTGCCTCCTTATTGAGAGGTTGAGGATCAAATCCCATCAATGGTTTTCTCCAAACATAATGCTTCAAGTAAGACTACAAGTAAATTAACTATAAAATATTTAACATGTAAGATACACTGCTTCTTTTGCCTCTAGATTATCAAATCCCACTATGAACATGTAAAGTTTTTTACAATACACCCACTGATTCTAGGCATCAATATAATAGACACATTTAGCATTGAAGACACCTTAGTGTTTGAGTACTATGTGTAAACAACATTCAAGGTAAGTATCAGGGCATATCAATGAGGATCGACACAAAAAAAGAAAGAAAATAGGAGTGCCCGACAACATTTTCCACACTAACCACATGATTTTAATCCTTTGAAGGCCTTACAAGAGCATGTCAAACTATAATTATAGTGATATGATAACTCCGGTGGGAGTACAATACAAAGGAACTAAAGGATTATGATAAGAAGGACCAAAGATGGAAATATTGATGAGAAAACTCAAATTAAGCTTAACAAGCTACACAGGTTTAAGTTTAAAACCCTTTATCTCTGGACATGAGGCACACCCATGAAGGGTTTCGGGTTAGCCCTTGATGAGGTCAAAGAGATACCCAGAGTGGTTGGCGAAGGGACTAAGTGACCCTTGTGTGCGATTGAAGGGCCTAAAGGGACAAGGGCTAAATCATGACTATCACACAACATGTACATCTAAAACATATTAGGAAGCAGACACTATTGAGGGTGTGACATGTACATGTGCAAGAGATAGCCTTCATACACAAATTGCAATAAGAGTGCACAGGTCTGTGTGACCTAGACTTGTCCCTAGGAGAAACATGGAATCCATGGGCTAAGACTATATTCTCATCACCTATTGGCTGACTTTGATAGTCCAATCATGAACCCCCACGATGGGCTGTGGGTCATGGGAACTATTGGATCAGTTTGAGAAAGTGAGTGTGGGATATAGTCGCTAGCAGAGATAGAGTGCCTCAATATATTCGCATTTTCCTAAGCATAGTTGGATCCAATTCCCATCAAAATAATTTTAAAATGATGAACTTTATGTTACATGATTATTAGAATATCAATATGAATTTTTAGATAACTTTGGATATTTTATTTTATCAAACAAAGGATTTTTAAAAGAGCTGAAATTAATTTTCAGGAATTTAAATATTTTGAGAGAAAAATGAATAGCCATGGTTTTCACAAAAATCATTTTATTTATTTTAAAATTCACTTAAGATTGTGGAGGCCCAAAATTGATGAGGGCCCACCACATGTGAGCCCACTAGGTGGGGGCATGGGGCCCACATTACCCACCATGTGTGGGACGCCCAACTTATTTTCTATTTCATTTGTTGTGTGACTTGTCAAGGAAGCCACCTAGTTGATTTGAAATTAAAAAGGTAAGGTTTTATAAAATGAGATTGATTGTTCTGAAAAGAGAAGGTGGAGGCTGACCTGAGTCATTAGATTTTCTTAAGCTCCATTTTGGGTCTTAGTGGAAAGGTACCCTTGTGAGGGATCTTAATTCCTAAACCACTGAGCTTTTGCTGTCTTGAACTAGTTGAAGCCGCCTATGAGGGCGAGCACTGCAACAACCTGTTTATTAGTCCAGGTGCCCTTTCGGGTTTTCACCTGGACTAGATAGAAATAGAGTCGCATAACAGTTTTCACCACCTTCCTTCTTATTAGGCTCTTTTTCCCGTGAATTCGAGGTCACGTCCACCTTTTTATTCCTATTTTTAGTCATGGCGCCCTTTCAGCTTTTCACCATGCCCGATTTTTCTATTTTCGAACAATTTTACTCGTGGCCACGCCCGTCTTTTCATTTTTACCCATGGCGCCCTTTCGGGTTTTCACCATGCCCAATTTTCTTTTTGGCAATCTTACCCATAGGTTCATGGCTATGTCTGCCTGAAGCTCTCACTTTTACTCATGATGATCCTCATCGGATGCTCATCATGCCCGGCTTCTTCCCTTTTGGACTATTTTTCCCACAGCTTCATGGTTGTGTCCATCTTTATGAAAGAGAAGGCCTCCTCCCTGATGATGAAGAGGATGGAAGGGTTATGGCTATATGATGCTCACTGGGGTACAGTATACCATGGGTGAGGCTTATTAGAAAGGTGAAGCACCACCGGGGATGTTTAAGGTTTTGAAAGGGTTGCAAGGTGATAAGTGGTTCATACTTGCTGAAGAACAGGGACTCAGGTGAGCGATGAGATAATTGTTGTGTGAGCCAATTGGGGATGGTATATAATCTAGTTTGCGAGGATGAAGGGATTCTCGCAATCCTGGGGATTAAAGAGCCTCGCTGGTGGTGGGATGATGGCTCGTTTCATGCACCAGACGTGATATAAACGCACTATTGAGGTGATGAGTCATGTGACTCTTGATAGCTTCATTGATGAGTTAACTCACTAGCCATTATGAAGGCTTAGGCGAGTTAGGTAGTTCCCATGTTCAGCATGACCCACTAGGGATGGTGAGGTTTCAGATAAGGCGCATATGAGATGGTTTTTGGGTGGCTCTTAGTGGTTTTTGGATTAATGGTTGAGGCTTAATGGGGGAGGTAATCCCAGCAACAGTGATACCTGAGGTATAGAATTCTGGCATGACTAATAGGGTGGTGGATCGGGTTGGTGAAGCTCATTGTGAGGACGAGGTAAGTCTCGTCCCTACCTTTGTCCTCTCTCATTTGAGTTTCTCTCTCATCTCTCAATTATTCACACGAAGCCCATGGCTTAAGCTCAGCACACACTTGTGCACGTTGACACTTGATGGTCAAGGGGGTTATGCTCTCCTTGATTCACTTACACACACTAACCCCTCAGTGGGTAACCCGTTCAAGCTATGTGAAGGCCAAAACCCTGGGTTCAGTTTAATGGATTTTGATAATGGTCCATATTACCCATCCAAGACCCACTTTCAAAACCACCTTCGAACCCATCTGGGTCAGATATTCCTAAAAAAGATGGTGCACCTCACCTAGGTCACCATAATTGCAAAGGATGCTTCTATCCTTAATACGCCTGATCACCAACGGAGACACATTAAGCATTTTTTCAAGGATATCATGGTCCTTAGAATGCTTAAACACCACTAGGGGCACACCTTTGCATAAACTCCAAAGATGCAGTTAAACCTATCAATTGGCTGATGCATGGCTTCCACTATAGGCCCTAATGACTCACAAAAACCATGGGAGTCCCAACCACCACATTAACCTGAACCATCATCTCCATGAGTCAGGTAAATACCATTTTCATCAAGAAATTATCTCTTCCATTGAAATTTCATGAACCTTCCTAAAAATCCCTTCACTTGAGCTTCACCTAAGAACTCCATTATCCTCATGGAACCATACCAAAAATACCCTACTCATCTGAGCCTTCATAAGACCCCATGAGTAAAACCATGCCTAAAGAGTCATATGGACCCTGGTCCTTAGTGGTCCATCACCCTAATGGTCCATTACCCCCAATGGTCATCACCCTAATGGTCCATCACCCCCAGTGGTCCATCACACCTACTAGTCCATCACCCTTACTGGTCCATCATCTCCAATGGTCCATCACCCCCAGTGGTCCATAACCCCCAGTGGTCTATAATCCTTGGTGATCCATAGTCCCTAGTGGATCATCATACCCAGTGGTACAGATATGTTACGATCGATGCATGAAGCATATTATCCCTTCATCACCCAAAGAAGCCTTTCAATCCCCAAGGGGCTAACCATTTGTTCATCCCTGAGAACGAAGGCACATATTATCCCCAGTGGATTTTCATAACCAGGTATCCTATGGTTCACCTAAAACCCTTGTGTCCGAGCAAGCATGAGTCATCCATCACCTTGCAAAACCCAAAACATCCCCAGTGGTGTTTACCCTCCTAATAAAGCCTCACCCATGGTATTTGTTACCCCAATGAGCCTTATACAGCCATAACCCCTCTATCATATTCATCATCAAGGAGGAGGTCTTCTCTTTTATAAAGACGGACATAGCCATGAAGTTGTGGGTAAAATCGTCCAAAAAGAAAGAAGCCAGACATGATCAGCATCCGATGAGGATCACCATGTGTA